GACTCCAGATATGCTGCAACGTAGCAATAACAAAGCTTCCCAATGATTAGATTTAGGGTATAAGAGAAAAGGGAGAAGATAAGAATGAGACCAATGGATTTTTGGCCTGACCACTTGGCAGAATGGACTTGCCTCTTACTAAAATGGGAGGAGAGGGGAAATGAGTAGGATATGAAACTATGATTTAGTATATTTGAAAAGTCTATTAGTTATGTCTTAGAATATCAAGTAGGCATTTGGATTTCCAAATCTGTAGATTAGAAGGGAAGTCAGAAATGGATTTATAAATTTGACTGAAGTGTATTTAAGCTCATGGAAATGGATGAGCTCACCTGCATGGTGACCATAGATAGAGAATTCAAGTCAACGCACTGCACACCTTAAACTTATATTATTTGTCAATTATATTTCAAAAAGCTTGGGAAAATAAAACAAAATTTCTCCAGGCATAAATAAAAGAATTCAGAGGACTGAGCCCTGGAGCATTCTAACATTTAGAGGTCAAAAATAGAAGGAACCAAGAAAGTCACTGAGAAGCAGCAGTAATGAGGTGAAAGGAGAAGCAAAAGGAAGTAGCATCCTGAATGTCATGGGAAGAAAGTGTTTTAAGGAGAAAGTGGTCAGTTTTGTCACATGCTGTTGAAACATCAAATAAGAGGAGAACCTTCGAATTTGACAGGATGAAGGACTGTCATTTGTTACCTTGATGAGAGCAGCTTGATGGTGTGAAGGGATAAAAAGCTCATCAGAGGGATTCAACAGAACTTGGGAGATGAAGAAATGGAGACAGAATCAAACGTTCTCCCAATAACTATTGCTCTGAAGAGGACCAGAGAAATGTGGTGTGATTGATGATCCTGTTGTTATTTTGGTCAATCTGGCATTCTGTTTCTCAGAATCCTCATTAGATCCTCTCGAAAAGAGGATCTTGCTCAAGATTTGAGAGGCAGAAGTGAAGCAGAGTCTACTACTACCTAATGGACTCCGAGGTGAGATATGGAAGCAGAGGTGGTGGGTGGGCTCTGACTTATCTTCAGCTCTCTGTCCAGCTCTTCTTCCAGACTGTTGACCCCAATGTCCAATGGAGCACCATTAGACACTTGGCTGCAGACCCACACGTGTGGTAGCTGAAGAGAAGCCCTATGGACCTCTCCATGCATTCCTGCTTCTCGGTGCCATTCCTGCAGCTGGATGTGTCTGGCTTTTTTAATTTCCCTGCAAGCTCTGATTTATCCTTGCACCGGCAAGGACAACCTGGTTAATGATTTTTCTCTGATTCTCTCGCTCCCTTCTTTGGACCTTCACTTCCTCAGGTCCTCCTCCAATAGCTTGAGGTCTAATTCCTGTAATAACCATATCGCTCCCAGCAGACCTGTTTCCTTGCCCGAATCCAGACTGACACATGGAGTAATTGCTGCAGAGGTGACGTGAGGTCAAGGGAATGTTGTTCATTTTTAAGATGGTAGTTTGCTGCTTGTTTGCTTGAGAGAAGAGAAAGTTACAACTGCAAGAGTATTGTGGCTTGGACCCAGGGCACAAAGGAAAAGATTGAATTGAGATGGGGGCCCAGAATAGGTGGGCCCAAGCATTGTAGTAAGAGAAAAGACAGAGTATGTGGGTATCTATGTAGTAGATTGGTAGTTACAATGGGAGCATGTGGAAATCTCTTTTGATTGCTTTTATTGTCTCAGTGAAATAAGAAGTACCAGCAGTAAATGAGTCTACTGGGAGAAGAGAGAAAAGTATAATTGCAAAAATTTGTTGTTTTTGGCTGGCTAGCCTGTGGACCGCTTTCTAGAGTTTGGAGAAATTGCTGTTTTGTGAGTCTTGGTGGGAGACAGAGCCCACCTATCACAACTGAAACTGAAATAATCAGACCCTCAGTCTTACCAACCCTTAGTAGCTCCTGGAAGATTTAGGATCCCATTTCCTTATAACCACATGACTCTGTCTAGACTCTAGAGTAATGAAAGGCTCTTCTCCAAGGGTACTCAAGTAGGCCAGGCTTGAGCCACATTCCTCTTTTCAGAGCAAGCACAGTGACTCAGGACTCAGGAACCAAAGTTCTATTCCTGGCTGTGCAATTTGGAAGGGCTCAACACCACCCTGAGCTCTAGGCGATTGGGTAAAAGTCACTAGAGGATCCCATGCTCAGTCACGCTAAGATCAAGGATGGGCCAGGAGTCTCTGCAGACAAAAGAAGAGAGTAAGAAGGAGTGGGAAGCCCAGAAAGGAAACTTCCTCCTCCTTTCAGGGAGCTAAGAGAAGAAATGATTGATCTTCTGCATAATAAGGATATAAAGTGTGGAAAGGCTGCAGCCATTAAAAAACTAATTGTTTTTGAATGGGAAATTTATGCATGTGATTTAACAGTACAAAAGTAGTATACAGTGAAAAGCAAATCAGCCTTTTCCCCTGTCTGTGTCCAACAGCCACTGAATTACTTTTTCCAGAGGAATTCATAGTGACGTGCTTCTGTGTGTCCTTCCCGAGAGTCTGTCCATATCCAAGCATGCACATGCAAGTGTATCTTTTATTTCTTCCCCCAATGGCCCACTCTTTGCTTTTTATTCTTTACACTGTTGTATTTATTTAGTGATGTTTCTTGGAGATTTTCCACAGCTACACACATAGGTTTGCCTTTAATAGTAGTGCAGAATTCCATTTTGCGGATAGTCCATTATTTATTTAAGCATCCTTCAGTGACTGACATTTAGTTTATTTGTACTGTGGATGAAAAAAGGGCCACATGCTAACCTGACTAACACAGGGAAGGCCTATATAGAAGCCTGGCAAATTCAAGAGATCTAAAGTAACCACAAAGAATGGTTTGAAATTAAAAGCCTTTCATTAAAAAACAGTTTATAGTGTGTAGTCAAAGGCTAGTATCTTCCTTGACAAAAATCAACTTCAATCTTTATTGAGCCTATTGTCCTTTTGCATCTAAGATAACATATCTGTGAAATGTCAGAGTAACTTTTAACTTACCTTTTTCCAGATCCCTCAGGGTGAAATAAAATTCCTTCATTGTTATTGTCCTGTTAATTGTTGACTGTTAACTATCCTGCACCAACCTAAGTAAAACAAGTATACCTCTATCATTTTACTTTTACCCAACCCCAGAGGTTCCCTCCCTCCATGTCTCATCTCTCCTCCTTTGATTGTCATGTAAAAACAAGGTTTGGCTCAAATAAACTCACAAAAATTTTTTATAGGTTTGAATTTTTTTATTTTTTATGTTAACAGCACATACAGTTGCAATAACATTTCCTCAAATGCATGTGATTTTGCACATATACTACATTCACTTTTACTCCCATGCCCAGTCAGCTGGAGACCAAAGCTGAAGCATCCAGAAGAGCAGGCCCAAGGGGACCACAGAGAATGACTCTGGGACCCTGATGACACTGTGACACTCTGGATTAAACTGGGACTGACATCCCTGTCTTGTTCCTGATCTTAAGGGAAATACTTTTAGTTTTTCCCCATGGAGTATGATATTGATTGTAGGTTTTTCATACGTGGCCTTCATTTTGTTAAGGTATGATCCCTCTATTCCCATCTTGTTGAGAATTTTTATCACAAACCAGAGGCCCAATGCATGAATTCTTGCACTAGTGGGGTCTGGCTGGCCCACCCTGATTAGGACCTATCAGGGCCAGGCTGGCAGGGAGAAGAGGGGTCCCTGCAGGAGGTTAGCCGGCTCCACCCCTGGTGTGGGGGCCAATTGGGGATGAGGCTGGCTGGAGGGAGGGGCCACAGGAGGTTGGAAGGCTGGCCTCACCCCTGATTGGGCTTCATAGCAACTGGTCATTCCTGTTGTTCTGGTTTTTCTTGTCACTTGGCTTTTATAAATATAGATAAGTGCTGGATTTTATCAAGTGCTTTTTTCCTGCATCTATTGATATGATCATGTGATTTTATCTTTCATTTTATAAAATGTATAATATTTATTGATTTACAGATATTGTACCTTGCATTCTCAGGATAAATCCCATTTGGTCATGGTGTATGATCTTTTTAATGTATTACTGGATCCAGTAGGTTTGCTAATATTTTGCTGAGGATTTTAGCATCTGTGTTCATTAGGGATATTGGCTTATACTTTTCTTTATTTGTAGTATCTTTTCATCAGGTTTTAGAAATAGAATAATGCTGGCCTCATGAAAAGAGTTTAGAGGTCTTCGTTTCTCTTGAATTTTTTTTGAATAATTTGAGAAGGGTAGGTGTTAGTTATTATTTGAATAGTTGATAAAATTCTCCTGTGAAGCCTTCCAGTCCAGGACTTTTGTTTGCTGTTTTTTTTTAAAATTTATTTTTATTATTTTTTATATATGTTTTCATTGATTTGAGAGAGAGAGAGAGAGAGAGAGAGAGAGAGAGAGAGAGAGAGAGAGAAACATTGATGAGAGAGAAATATCCATTGGCTACCTCCTATATGCCCCCTATTGGGGAACCAGCTCATAACTTGGGACCTCTTGGTGCATAGGTGAACACTCAACCACTGAGCGACACTGGTAGTTGATTACTGCTTTAATTTCCTTCATTGTGATTGGTCTATTCAGGTTTTCTGATTCTTGCTGATTAAGTTTTGGGAGACTGTTCCTTTCTAGGAATGTGTCCATTTTGCTCAGGTTGTCCAATTTATTGGCATATAGTTGTTCATAGTATTTTCTTACAATCCTTTGTATTTCTGTGATGTCTGTCGTTACTTTGCCTCTTTCATTTTTGATTTTGCTTATGTGGATCCTCTCTTTTTGTTTTCTGGTGAGTCTGGCTAAATGTTCTGAATCTGAGGTAGTACTAGTATCACTAATTATCTTTTCAAAAAACCAAGTCTTCACTGATCTTTTGTATTATTCTTTTAGACTCCATGTCATTTATTTCCACTGTAACCTTTATTATTTCCTTCCTTCTGCTTACTCTGGGCTCTTGTTGCTCTCTTTCTAGTTCTTTTAGGTGTAGGGTTAGAGTGTTTATTTGAAATTTTTCTTTCTTCTTGAGGCAGGCATGTAATGCTATGAACTTCTCTCTCAGAATGGCTTTCACTGTATCCCATAGATGTTGGGTTGTTGTGTGTTCATTTTTATTTATTTCCAGGTATTGCCCTATCTTCTAAAGGGCTCACTTGTTATTTTGGTTACGGTGAATTGGGGTTAGAGAGGAGAAGGCAATGAGTTAGGGAGAAGTGCCTGAGAATTCCAGGTCTTCCCTACCTCTTCCCCTAGCCATCTCTCAGGGATTCTTCTCAAGAGCCACGGAATATTCCCATAGTCCTTGAGGATCGCCACCACAGAGACTGGGAGTTGGGTTCTGTTGCTCTGGTGACCAATTGTGTGGGGCCTCTGTATTGGAACTGCCAGGTTTCTGGGAAGAGGCAGGCCAGGGAAGCTCAGACATAGAGGAAGCCTTGGGGCAAAACGCAGGAGAGAGCCTAGGAGTGGAGTCATAGTCCTGGTTCTACTTTCATCTCAGTGATGACTACCCTTTCAGTGTTCTTGGATGTTCCCCCAGCTCAGAAGCTAGAAGGCAGTTTGTTAAAGATCTACAAACAAGACGACTCCTCTAAGAAGATGTTCCTGGCTTATAAAGGTAGATGCCTAAGACTTAGTGTATCATAATCGCCTTTAGGGGGTAGTATTCCACTGCTACAGAGGAATCAGGAATATCACCCAAGCTTCTCCCAGTGGGCAAAAGAGCAGAAAACATCCTGGGTCATTCCGTGCCCTCTGCCTTTCTTTGGGGCCTTCCAGAAGTTTGATACAAGCTCTGGTATATTCTCTTCACCAGCTGTATGTGGCGTGTGCATGAGCACAGCACGTTTTTCTGCCTCTTCCTCCACCCACTTTCTGATCCTGAACCAAGAATGGTTCTCTAAATTGGCTCTTCAGATATACAGAGAGCGCTTGCCACTGTGTAAGTCAGTGTTACTGTTGTTTAATCTCAGGTATTTATAACTCCCAGGCTGTATGTAATTTTTGCCTTTTAAAATGACTCATAGGTTTTAGTTGTCTTCTTTAAAAAGACAAAAATTGGCTCAGTGGATAGAGCATCAGCCTGAGGACTGAAGGGTCCTGAGTTTGATCCCAGTCAAGGGCATGCACTTCATTTGTAGGCTTGATCCCCGGCTCTGGTTGGGGCAAGTGCAGGAGGCAACCAATTGGTAATGAGTCTCTCACACATTGATGTTTCTCTCTGTCTCTCTCCCTCCTTTCCACTCTCTCTAAAAAATCAATGGAAAAATATCCTCAGGTGAAGATTAACAAAACAAAAAAACCAACAAAAAATGGTCCTGGCCAGTGTGGCTCAGTTGGTTGAGTGTCATCCTGTGCACCAAAAGGTCACTGGTTCTATTCCTGACCAATGTTTTCTTGTCCTTTTCCTGTCATTGCTCCATTTAAAAAAATATAAATATTTTATTGATTTTTTTACAGAGAGAAAGAGAGAGGGATAGAGAGTTAAAAACATCGATGAGAGAGAATCATCCACCAGCTGCCTTTTGCACGCCCCCTACCGGGGATGTGCCCGCAACCAAGGTACATGCCCTTGACCGGAATTGAACCCGGGACCTTTCAGCCCACAGGCTGATGCTCTATCCACTGAGCCAAACCGGTTCCGGCCATTGCTCCATTTTTGACCATGATCCCAGGTTGTGAATTTGATCCCTGATTCAGGAGGCAGCTCTGATCAGTGTTTCTCTCTCCCTTCGTCTCTCTCTCTCTAAAATCAATAAAAACATTTTTTAAAAATTATATTTACTAATAGCACATTGCTTTTATAAAACGGAAGGGTGGGAAGGAAAGTTGTCTTTTCCTAGGCAACTTTCCAAAGCTTCAGGAAAGCCGGGACAGATGAATTGCTTGTGGGCTGGCTGCAGAGCCCAGAGGCCTCCAGAGCACCCTCTGTGGTTCTTCTCACAGTCTGCATGACCCAGGAAGGACAGCCCTGGGTGTCTTTCGTGGTGCACAAAATCCGACTGCAGCTCGCCCAGGATCCCTCCCTGAACTACGAGTATCTACCGGTGATGGGCATGAAATCATTCATCCAGGCCTCGTTGAGACTTCTCTTTGGAAAGCACAGCCAAGTCATTGTGGAGAACAGGGTGAGAAGGAGGGCTCCTCCTCTGCCCACCCAGACAAAGGGTGGTGGGAATCGGAGTTTGCACAATCTTAAACCTGAAAGGGACTTTGGACCCCACTGCCCCCCGGCATTGACAAAGGAAACTTGTGAAGCTCATAGAGCCCAAAGCTTGTCATTGAAGGGCAGGGCCAGCATCAGAACCCCAAGCCCATGCTCTTGGCACCAGCCCACAGTGTGCAGATTCTCTCAAGAAAGGAATGATCTGGCTGAGACCGGTTTGGCTCAGCGGATAGAGCGTCGCCCTGTGGATTGAAAGGTCCCAGGTTAGATTCCGGTCAAGGGCATGTACCTTGGTTGTGGGCACATCCCCAGTGGGGGGTGTGCAGGAGGCAGCTGATCAATAGTTCTCTCTTATCAATGTTTCTAACTCTCTCCCTCTCCCTTCCTCTCTGTAAAAATCAATAAAATATATATATATTTTTAAAAAGGAATGATTTGAATCTGAGGGGTACTAGTATCACCATTACTCTTTAAAATTGTTCTGTTTATTTCTTTTGCTGTCAGGCAGGGGGTGTGCAAACTGTTGGTGACAGTGGTGCCTTCCAACTTGGGGCCCAGTTCCTCAAAACTTGGCGTCAGGATTCTCAAATAGTCTACGTCATTTCTTCTCAAAAAGGTGAGTGTTATGCGAGGTGAGGATGACAGAAGATCCCTCTCCCGCTCCTGATTCCCAGCCCATTTACATTCTTCACTGTTGTCCTTCTTACTCTCTGTCATGACAAATGGTGAACAAGCCAAGGTGTGCTTGCCCTTTTCTTGCCATTGCTCCATTTTCAACCCTGACCCTCAGGGCCATTCTCTGGTGTGTCTGCTTCCATCTCTCCACTTCCCATGTAACAGCTGGTGGGGGGCTGTGTTCCCACAGAACGTCATGGACTCATCTTCCAGGACATGGGCTTTACAGTTTTTGAATTCTCCTTCTGGGACCCTGAGCAGCTGTGCATGGACTCCAATATGCTCTTCAGTGTGGTGAAGGTAGAGAGGTCACCCTCAGAAACTTTCCCCCAGACCTGACCTACAGTTGTATTTTCCTTTCCTCCCCACCCATCTAATTATCCAAGGCCTTCTGTAGGCTTGGATTTGTCTAGTGCTTTGGTAGGAACCAACTTGGAGGATCACTTCTCCTCCAACACTCCAGTGCCTCTACCGCCTGGTAGGGGCAGTGCCTGATGAGACAGTCTCTACCTATAGCAGGCCCCATATGGCTGTATCTTTGTGATTGGGAACATTGACCACTGCAAGATGACACAATATCAGTGGACAAAGTTGATGGCCACCATGAAGGTGAGTCCAGTGTCTTACCTGACTTCCTCCCTCTCACCATCTACCATGCCTTTCATCAGTCTCACCCTTTTTTTTTTTCATTCTCCTTTCTCCTATAGAGAAAGCGGATATTCCTATTTTTTGACATCCCCTATCAAGGGTTAGCTACCGGTGACCTGGAAGAAGATACTAAATTCTTACAATACTTCGTGTCCGAAGGCTTTGAATTCTTCTGCAGCCAGTCTCTGTCCAAGAGTTTTGGCATTTATGGTATGGCATAAGCAGAGGGAGAAGGGAGGGTCTGGTGATGAAGTGCTGCCCACCCATGCCATGCTCCACACTCTCTAGACCTTGCGGAGAAGCCAAGGCCTCCTGAGAGGGCAGCATGGGGGCACAAGAGAGGCGCTGGACATCTGCTTCCATGCCATCATCTCAGCTCAGTTATGAAAACTGGCACCAGTTGCATTGTTTCCCCCCCTTAGACCTCATTTCATCATCTATAAGAGGAGGGGTTAAGAATCAGTTATCTTTTCAGCCCCTTCTGCCTTTGAGACTCTTACAGTTACACATCCTGGAAGAAGAGCCTCTGGCAACTTCCAAGGGCCTGGACACTAGCGTGACTAGGCTGAGATGAGGGCCCTGGAGGTTACTCTCTCTTCGGTAAGGTTGAAGGCAAAGTTACAGGGGAAGGCCCCGGTAGAGGAGACTGAGAACAAGGCTGTCTGTCTCCATGCCGCAGATGAAGGAGTGGGGATTCTAGCCGTGGTGACACTCAACAACCAGCTCCTGCTGTGCGTCCTCTCCCAGCTGATGAACTTCGCCTTGGCCCTGTGGCTAAACCCTCCCACCTCGGGGGCGCGCATTATCACCTCCATCCTCTGTAACCCTGCTCTGTATGAAGCATGGTAAGGGAGACGGGTGGGGGCAGGGGTGGATGGGCGCAGGCTCTAGATACCTACATACTTCCTGATTCACAGGATTCAACTGGGTGCTTCTCTTCTTGCCTCTGTACTCCATTCATTCATAAACATTTATTGAGGACCCTCTGTGTTCCAAGGGCAATGGCTATGCCAACCAACTCTTGCCCTACTATGGGGAAATGGGTAATAAGATGGGACACAGACTGATGAATTATTTGAACTCTTCCAGATTGCAGGAGATTAGGAAGCCCCAAAAGCTTGCTACTCTACCAAAATCTGCCCAAGAGTCTGCTTGGCCTGCTTAAATTAATACAAGCTGAAACTTTCCTCCCATTTGTAGCCATCTGAGATCCCTGACTCCACTGGTGTGCCCTCGGGCACTCTGGTTGGGGGCTTTTGAAGGGAAGAGGAGTGGAATGGCAATGAGGAGACTGGGAGCAGGGGGAGCCCTCACACTCTAATTTCTTGCTGTCCTTCCTTTGGCAGGAAGCTGAGTCTAAGAGAGGTCGCAGAACACCTTTTGCTCATCAAAGAAAAGGTTAAAGAGAAGCTCCGGCTCCTGGGGACGCCTGGCTCCTGGGATCACATCACTAATCAGAATGGGACCCATGGCTATCTTGGGCTCAACTGTAAGTGTCTAGGAGTAGAAAGCACGCCCCTTTCTGACCTTGGGCTTGTATCTGAATATTCACCTCCACTGATTAGGTGACCAGTCCCTAGCTTCACACCAGATTTTGAATCTCCTTTGAGGAAAGTGGAGCTGCTTTGAAGACCCCCTATGGCCTCCCACAAGTGCTGATGCTCCCAATCCCCCATAATCCACACTGAGCTAGAAGGGATTTAGAGGTGGTCATCCCAGGATCTGAAATCCTGTGATTATCACAAGATCAACAGATAGAATACTTGGTCAAGAAGAAACATATCTACATCCCCAAGAACGGTCGGATTAACTTCACCTGTATCAATGCCTGCAACATAGATTACATCACTCAGAGCATCAACGAGGCTATCTGCTTCACAAAGAGCTCTGGGAAAAAAAAACCCTCCAGAAAGTCGATATCTCCTAATTTAGAATAAAAGCGTGAGTCTTGCAAAATTCCTGCGTATCTGCTTATTCACTTCTACGATTTATTTCTCTGCTAAGTATTCTGTCTCTCTCTCTACCTGTCTACTGACAAAGCATTGGTCTGGCCTCAGCAAAGAGGGGGGAAAGCCCAGAGAAAAAGGAAATGTCTACCTTCATGTACCATCCCCTATTTATTGAACACCTACGATGTGAAGGCCCTGATATGATATCTTAGTTCATGCGAGCTGCCATAACGAGCTACGGTAGACTGGTTGGTTGGCTTATAAACGACAAAGATGTCTTTCTCACATTTCTGAAAGGCAGAGCAGTCCAAGATCAAGGGGCCACAGACTCAGTGTCTGGGGAACGCCCACCACCTGGCAGAAGGGGTGAGGGATTTCTCTTGGGGTCCTTTTGTCAGAGCACTCATCCCCCCATTCATGAGGGCTCTGCCTTCATGACCTAACCATGTCCAAACCCCATCACATTGGTGATGAGGTTTCAACATATGAGTTTTTTTGGGGAGGAACACAAACATTCAGACCATAGCATCTGGGCATCAAAGAGAATGTAAAAAAAACGTGTCCAATCCAGTCCTTTTCCTTCAGAGCTTAGTTGGGAGACAACCTTAGTCACATGAAACAGTTAAGTAACATTTCAAGGCTGAATGCAATAAAAAGGCACAACAGATTTACAGAGATGTGATTCTTACACTCCGGAACCTCCCCGTCATCCCAGCTAACTGAGTGGAGCACAGATGAATTATCCTGAAGATCCCTTCCCAAGTGACAGGTTGATGAGCAAATTTAGTATTGTTCCTGTGATAAGGCACTGAGTTTGGGAGTGATTTGTTACATAAGTATAGATAGCTGGAACCATTATTTTGTCTTTTATGACTCTGTTAATTGGTAGTTTCTTCCTCCATTGTTTTTCTTGCAATTTTTTAAAATTGAAGAACTGGGTTTTGGTGGGTTTTTTTTTTTTTTTTTTTTTGTCCTATAAGGTTTCTCACAGACTGAAAATTGCTAATTTCATCCCCACGGTAATCTTTTAACATGTTCCTCTGTCTTCTTGCGTTTTTGTTTTTTTTTTAAAAATAAGGATCTAAATTAGAGGCTTGGTCAGATTAAAGTCCAATCTTGGTAAGGCCACCTCATAGATGGTGATGTGTTTCATCAGGAAGCATGGGATGCTAATTTTGTTGTTGTTTTGTTATGTAAATCCCCCCTGAGGATAATTTTTTAAGAGAGAGTAGAAGGGCAGGAGGGAGGGGGGAGAGAGAGAGAGAGAAACATGGATGTGAGAAAGACACATCTGTTGGTTGCCTCCCACATGCACTCTGACCTGGACCAGGATGGGGATCGAACCTGAAACCCAAGTACAGGAATCAAACCCATGGACCAACCTTTGGTCCACAGGCCACCACTGTGACCATTAGGCAACATGGGCTAGAGCGGGATGCTGGATTTTTTACTGTGATGTCAGCAACCGTTGATGATTATGCTGAGCTCCATTAATTCATTTGTGTGGCAGACTGGCAGATATTCTAATTCTAACATCATTTATTCACTCATTAAGTGGAATGCTTTTATAAATAGAAATTTTCCCTCACTGTGATTTGCTTAATGTGAGGTAGATTTTTATATAGAAAGGCATAATTAATGCTTGGTTCGTTCCCCTAATTTACCAGATTAAAAAAAAAAACCTTTATGAATTTAAAATTATTTGATGTTTCATTCTCTTGCAAACATCACCCTTATTGATATTTTAAATGTCTGATCTTTGAGCTGTCAGAGCCAAATAAAATTAGTTTGGGAGTGGTTTTTTTTTCTCCTTTTTCTTTTTTTCTTTTTTATTTTTTTAAAGGATAACCTGAAAGGGCTGTGGGTTTTTATTTTCAGAAGGAGGAACCAGTTTGAGAGGTCTTTTGATACAACCCTAGTACTCTTTGATAGCTTCTTTACTTTCTGGCATGACAAAAAGTTCCAAACAATTTTTGAACATTTCTGCCTCAGACCTAGACTCAGTCATTTCTCGAAGGAGCTCTAATCACTTTCAGGGGTTGTAAGTGCTGGATTGGTCATTATTTCCAACTCTTTCCCGAAAGATAAAATATCCTGAGTGCCTGTCTTCCTTTGCCCACCAGCCTAGCACATTGGAGACACCGGGGCTGAGGCTGAACAAATTGTCAGCAAATGCCTCCTGCTCTTCCAAGGAGTCCAGACGTCATTACTATTGTAGCTAATGGCTGTTGAGTGCTTATCCAGAGCTTTACATCCATCATCTCATTCAATCCTCGTAACAGCTCAAAGAGATAGGTTATTTATATTACCATCCTCATGTACAGTCTGAGGGGCATCAGTAATCTGCCCAATCATGGGGTGCAGGGGGTGGAAGGGCTTGGTGCCCTGACTCCTGCTAGGTGCTGCTCTCGTCCATCCAAGCTGCTATCAAACCCCCCCACTCCCCTTCATTCTCTCCCCACAGGGGTTCTTGAACTAAATCCTACAGAGGTAAAACACGCACCAAGACAGGCCCCGAGGGAGGCTGCTCCAGCCCAATGGAGCCTCCAGGCTTTGGGCAAACCCCAGCCAACTGTGTCCCTTCGCCTTGCGAGTGGAGAAGTGCAGAGCTGCGACCCTTGGGAGCAGATACTGTCCTTTGCGGGGGGAGAAAAACCTGCCCACAGTGGGGCCGGCACCACAAGGAGATGGAGAATGGGTTGGATGAGGGGCTGGTTGATAGCCTTTCTGATGACTGGGAAAGCCCTGTGAAAGGAAGTGCGGTGCCGCCGGCTGCACAAGAGTAGTCTCCGGACTGGACGGCGTGGCTGCAGACAGCCAGGGGGTGCATCCCAGGCTCCAGCCCTGACCCTGAGTCTCAACTTTTGCGGGTGGCAGTCATATTCCTCCCTGTCATTGCTGAAGGCCGCCGACTCGGACCGGCTGGCCCAGGCTTCTTCAAGTGACTGCTGTCTGTGTGCCCGGGGAGAAGGACACCGAGGAGCAAGTATTCCAAAATTCAGTCACTGATGCCCCGCGGCCCGCCGCGACCTGTCTGCATGGGATCTCGGTCCTTGAGTTGTATCTGCCTATGAAGGAGCCTGTGAACTCCGAGGTTCTCCACACGAGGGCGCGCTGAGATTCCAAAGGCTTCCAGAGGATCCCAGGGCCGTGCATCCTGAGGGGGCTGCAGAGTATGGGCGCGCTTTGCTGTGCCTTTCTTGGGTTGCATTCCCCCGTTTCCATCGGCTGTGCGTCCCACAGGACCTGGTAATAAAAGAGCAGGAAATGGGGGTTAGGTGGGCCTGCCCTGGTTGGCAAGTGGCTGGGCATGCACAGTAAGCTCGGGCACCAGGGCGCTTCTTCCCCTTCCCCTGCTCTTCACAGAGAGGGATAGCTTCAGGATCAGCCTCAAATCCGGGGTGTGTGCAGGAAGGGAGGGTGGGGTGCAACACGATTATAGTAATCAGTCATTATCGAACATTATAGTTATTAATAATTAGAGGCCCGGTGCACAAAATTTGTACACTGTGGGGGGTGTCCCTCAGCCCAGCCTTGCACCCTCTCCAATATGGGACCCTTGGGGGATGTCCAACTGCCGGTGTAGGCCGGATCCCACAGTCAGAGACTGCTGGCTCCCAACCACTCACCTACCTGCCTGATTGCCCCTAACCGCTTCTGCCTGGTAGCCAGCTCACCCCCTAACCACTCCTCTTCTAGCCTGATCGCTCCCAACTTCCCTCCCCTGCTGGTCCAGTCCCCCCTAACTGCCCTCCCCTGCCTGCTTGGTTGCCCCTAACTGCCCTCCTTCCCCTACAGGCCTGGTTGCCCCCAAATGCCCTCCCCTGATGGCCATCTTGTGATCACATGGGGTGGCCATCTTGTGGAGGGTGTGATAGTCAATTTACACGTTACCTCTTTATTATATAGGATTATGTATAACAGGATATTATAAAAATTAAGTTACAAAATTTTTATTCAAATGTTTTTTTACTCACTCAGTATACATTATATTGGCTGGGCCGCAAAAACATTTGTTGTGGGCCGAGGGCTTGACACGCTTGCTGGGAAGCCAAGTGTTGTGTGCCTGCCTACTCTTCCAGGCACATTCAACAGGGACCCTCGCCTTACTCCGTGATTTAACTGCGGTTCTCTTGCTTGCTCACCCACACTTCAGATTCATGGGTCTTCTTCCAGTTCCTCGAATCTAAGCAGGTCTTCCTGTCAAGCCTTTGCACATGCTGTCTCTTCTGACAGTAACACTTTCTCTGCTTTTTGGAAGGTCAGCCCTGTCTCATATGTGTGGTCTCAGCTCTTATAATAGCTTAGATATCTCGCCCTCAAGAAGGCTTTCATCTAGCCCCCCTACAGAGTAAGGTCTTCCAGTCCTCACAAACATTTATTCCCTGTCTTTCTGGTTTTCTTTACACTTCTTGCCACACGTTGTATTTATTCTGTTATTCTCTGACCTTGACAAGGTAATGTAAAATAGGTCAGGGGACACATTGCTTCATCAGGGCTGTGACTTTCATATAATAGGTTCTCAAACTTTTGTGACAGTACTTTTATTCATTGGCTCCTCGCTACATAGAACGTTAGAGTCAGAAAATGCCTCTGGCGTAGGGCCGTCTACCCAGCTCTGCGGGGATCTGCTGTTTGCAGCAGCTCCCCAATGCCATCGCATAGGGTTGGCACCTCATCATATTGTAATAAAATGGAGAAAAGCTATTTTCTTAAGCACAGAGTACACCCTCCTTCCTTCATTCTCTGAATCCTTCTTAGAGACTGAGTCGGCTGCCTCTCTGGGGCAGTATCCCTGGGCCCTCCACAGGGTCTGGTACTCAGGATCTCAGGAAGTGTTGGGTGCTGAGTGAGGGTGGGCCTCCCAACTGCCCCTCGGCTCTTTTTTGAGGCAAACTCAGCACAACGCTGCATTTCTGCAACACTGAGCTAGCACCACCAAGCTGGAGCTGTCCTGGGGACACGGAGAAGTGAATTCATCCTTGGCTGGCTACCAGCTGCCTCA